GAATTCTCTCCCCCTTTATCTCCATCTGGTAAATTTCCTGGTCTCCTTCAGGGCATAGCTAAAATTCCATCCTCTGCAAGAAGCCTTTCCCAATCTCCCTTAATGCTAAGGCCTTCCTTCTATCAATTATCTCTGATTTATACAGTTATCCCTTCCATATTGTGGCAGTCAGGGACATAGCACCTCCACAATCTGGAAAATCTGTAAAATTTTTTGGCTCTCCCTTTGTACCTGAGAAGAAGTATGAATTATTATGGTATTAAAAGATAAAATATATTGATGTTATACAATATTATACATATATTTTGTGCATTTCTGAGTTTCTAAACTTTTTCTGTGTCATCTTCTGGCCTTCATGTGTTACTGTGGCTTCTGCAAAACTCTCAAAAAATTCTCATTTAATTTCTTATGCCAACCTGCAGTATATTGAAAGTACAATGGGGAAAGTCAAGATGTGGAAGGGATAACTGGGATAACTGTATATATCTTGTTTGTACATGGATACTTTCATATGGTCACTCCCATTAGACTAAGAGTTTCTTGAGAATAGGGACTGTTTTTTGCTTTTGTTTCTATCCCAAGTACTTAGCACAGTGCCTGGCACATAGCAGGTGCTTAATCAATGGTTATTGGCTTGAATAAAAGTATATTTAGTATTCTCATCAAATCAGAAGATGACATAAAACTGGGAGGGATGGTAACACAATGGATGACAGACTGATATTCCAAAGGATCTTGGCAAGCTAGAGCACTGAGCTGAATCTGATAAGGTGACATTCAAAAAGGATAAATGCACTTCAGTAGAAGAAAAAATGAACTTCACCAATATAAGACAGAAGAAGACACGGCTATGTTGGGGAAAAATGAGGAAGGCCTCCAGCATGTTGAAAGTATGCTTGGAGTCAGACTTATGGAAAGACACAGACAAGAGTTGAACAGAGACAGGCACGGCTGAGTTGTATTCTGTATCCTCGAAAACACAGCTCCATTTGTATTTTGTATTCATCTATTACAGGGTAAAAGTTTTGCTGCATTTCATGTATCATGACCTACAAGAACCTAAAGAAGTAAGCTTTGTTGTCCTCAGCACTGATCTGGCCCTCCCTGAAGTCTTGTCTCCCCATTTTAGGTGGAATGTAGGATAGCTAAACTAATAATAATTAAAAGTTGAAAAAGATAGGACCTAAGATCCAAGCAGGGGGGAGAATGCAGAAAGGTAGAGTGGATAGAGTGAGTGCTGGGGCTGGAGTCAGGAAGACCTGAATTCAAATCCAGCCTCAAGACACTTACTAGCTGTGGGACCCTGGGCAAGTCATTTAACCTGTTTGCCTCAGTTTCCTCATCTGTCAAATGAACTGGAGAAGGAATGATAAACCATTCTGATGGGGTGTTTAGGTACTTGTACTGGGACCCCAGTTCCAAGACCATGTTTCTCCCTAGCCTCAGAAACACTATCCCTGGCAGTTTCTCCTCAGCCCAAGGACACTATGCCTAGCAATTATTCATGAGTGGGCCTCAGCAACATACTTATCTCTGTCCCTGGTGCAATTACTACACCTGAAGGAATTATTAGTTTGAACTGGCTTAGCATTGAGTCATAAAGATATTTGTACCCACTGGACTATCTATACCACTACTCTACTTCATTATCTACATCCTGGACTCCTCATTACATGTATTCTAGACTTAAGATATATGCATACTCCCTACATCTATCTTGTCAAACAAGACACTGACTAGGGGCAGACTGGGCAAACTTCAGTTGGCCCTGACTGCTGCTAATCAACTTAGTGACACAGCAGATCTAAAAACCACACCTCCACGTAGCCCCTCCTTGGGTTTTTCCTGGTGAATTCTGGGTAAAACACCTGTGCAATAGATACAAAAAGTGCATGTTCGGGGCAGCTAGTTGGCATAGTGGACAGAGCACTGGCGCTGAAGTCAGGAGAACCTGAGTTCAAATCGAACCTCAGACCAAACACTTGACACTAGCTGTGTGACCCTGGGCAAGTCACTTAACCCCAACTGCCTTAAAAAAAAAAAGTGCATGTTCCTTTAAGTACTGACAACTCCTTAATCCCACCCTGAATCACCTAGTTAGCATATTTGGCACATGTTTTACTACAGTTTATCCTGTGTAAACTTTAACTGAACTCCTCTAAGGTCACAGGTTCCTTAAGAATCATAGCCCGCTGTATAGTGTAACAGTAAATCTTTGGCAACTTGACTTAAGGAATGCATGAGTCTGTGCATTCATTCCAGACGACCCCATCCTGTACTCCAGTCTTTGAGGGGTCTCAACCTCTCACACTGCAACATTTTCACTCTCTTTGCCAAAAAAACCCTCTGGACACTCTGGTCCATGGGCATGAAGAGCTGGACACAACTGAACCACAGGAAGCCTTAATGCCCTCTTGCTCCAGGAAGTATTTTGCATTTACATGCCCCTTCACTCCATTTGAAGGTGGGAACTGTTTTTCTCTGATTTGGGGTTTGTTTGTTTTTGGTTTCTATCTCCCCCCTCCCCCCCCCAAAAAATGTAGCACAGGGCCTTGCACATAGCAGGCATTTAATATTTGTTGAATTGACTTGCTCCTCAGGCCTTTCCTCCCAAGGAATAGAAACTCTGCAAGCAGAAGAGTAACCTAATAGGGCAATGAATTAAATAGCCAACTGCTGAGTTACCCAGAAATGTGTTTTACATGCAATCCCATCCAATTGCCAGGCTGAATCTCTCCTCCTGCTCCTCCTCCTCCTCCTCCACCTTCTCCTGTTCCTCCTTCTTTTCCTTCTCCTTCTTCCTCTTCCTCCTCTTCTTTGTTTTAATTTGTTGCTATTTATTTTATGGATATTAATGAATGTTTTGTGGTTTTAGTCAGTCAACAAGCATTCATTAAACCTGGACCAGAAAGCAAAATTATCCAAAAGGGTAAAATTAGACAAAGTAAGTAAACAAATAAGTCAGATAAATGTAGAGCCTTCCAATTTAACTCCTGAAATACAGGGTATCTCAAAACTTAAAACTGTACTACATATTTATTTATTTATTTATCATACAACAGATAACAGATAAAGTAAAGAGAGATAGGATCTCAAATAGCATGCTAGGATTCCTTCTCTCATTGGCCAGAGAGAATAGGGTCTGCCTGAGGCATGGCTAAAACAAACAGAAGCCCAGGAGCAGATATGTAGAGATAAACAATTTTAAAGACCTATATAAATGTCAGGGCAGCTAGGTGGTCCATTGAGAGTGCAGGGCCTGGAGTCAGGAAGACCTGAGTTCAAATCTAATCTCAGACACTGACTAGCTGTGTGACCCCGAGCAAGTCACTTAACCCTGTTTGTCTCAGTTTCCTCATCTATAAAATGAGCTAGAGAAGGAAACGGCAAACCACTCCAGTATCTCTAACCCCAAATGGGGGTCGGACGGCAACTGAAAGTGACTGAACAACAACATATAAATATTAGCTATCTGAATAATCCAACTTGAGTACTTTAGAGAGAACTGAGGGGTAATTAAGATACTCCTAAATAGTTAGACATAACAAAGATTATACTAGGTTAACTATAGCTGTGCAACCTCTCTTACTTTAGATGCTGGATAAACTTTTCCCTTTTTTTTTTCTATTTTTAAAAAATTTTATGCTCAAATACCTGAACTCAAATACAGAATAGAGAAAAGAAAAAGAAACATATTATAAACTTAAATATTGAAACTTAAATACAAAGTAAGAAAAGAAAAAAAAGTGTATCATGTGCACAACAGAACATAAGAGAGGATTCAAAATATATAGCAATAAATTTTCATTTCAAGAGAGCCTGTATGAGAGGCAGCTAGGTGGTGCAGTGGACAGAGCACCAGCCCTGAAGTCAAGATGACCTGAGTTCAAACCCAGCCTCAGACCAAACACTTGACACTTAGTAGCTGTGTGACCCTGGGTAAGTCACTTAACCCCAATTGCCTAAAAAGAAAAAAAAAGAAAGAAAGCCTGTATGATAAATACTACATGTTGTGTTGAGAGCTGTCCATCTTCATTGCTTCCTTGTAAGTTTTCTTTTGTTCTCTGATGTGCACTTTATACTCCGTTCTTTTTTCTCCCTTCCTTCCCCCCCCAGGCTACAATTAAGTGCAGATATATTTATGTGTAGATATATACATACACATATACATGTATATACATACATACATATGTACATATATAGACATTTACTTTCCCTAACAAATTCTACTCCTGATCTGTTTTTATATGTGTATCTCTTATTTCCTATCCCTCCTGACTCCTCTACTTTACTTCTACCCGCTACCTTGCTGTGAGGGACTGTCTGATGTTGGCAGCTGCCAGTCGGGTACTGTGGCATGGGTAAGGTAAGATCTGGGTATTTTGGAAGTCTAGGCAGGGACTGTGGTAGGCAGAGTCGTGTGTACTGGGATGGGCTGGATTCGGAGAAGCCATGAGGCAATTGGGCAGTGCTATGAGATAAGCTGGGTGCAAGGAAGTAGCCAAGCCTGAACTCCTGAGGCAAGGGGCGGTGCCACGTGGGAGTGGGATGGCAGAGGACTGAGTTCCCTCTGCTTAGTCCCCTCCCTATATGCAACGTCATCCCCAGATGCCTCTTGTGACCTTCCTGACTTTGTGCAGCACTGACCCAGTCCCCTCCTGAGTCTGACTTCCTAGGTCACGTACTCTTGTCTATGCGTCAATCCCAGATGCCTCCTTCCTGTATCCAATCCTGGCCTCCTACGTCACTCCCTCCCCCTTGGTGTGCTAAACTCAGACAGCCCCTTCTGGTATCTGACCCTACAATCATTGGCTAGTAGCGGGCTGGGGAGGAGGGGCTAAGTAGGTACTTAGGAACAAGCGTGGTCAGAACACACGTGCGCTCTCCCCTGGCTCCTGCTCTGTTGCTCTGGCCTTGCTGCTTGGGCTTGCTATGATGGTTTGCTGTGTTGGCCTCTGAATAAAACTCTGGTGTTGGTGCCTTCCGATGGCTTGTCTCTGTGTGGTGATCCGGCTGAGGACCGAGGACCCAGGCATGGGTAAGACTCTGGCAGTGCACTTCTTTTAAGGGAAGTGGGTACTGGCGCACGACTGGCAGAGGGTCGGCGTGCGGCCCGTATACCTTGCTCTCCTTTGACTTAGCCTATCCTCCCCTATCCTCCCATTCCCATAAATCTAAACACCCTTCTATATCCCCCTTTGACCTCTTCTCTTACCCTCCCCTCTAGAGATCTCTCCCTCATCTTCCAAAGGATCCCTCCCTTATTCTTCCATTCCCATTCATCTACCCTTCTATACTAAACTTTTCTAAGAGATTCAAGGTACCAGGCAATTGAATGGTTCATCCTCCTCTTTAATCTATGCAAACAGGTCAGTAATCCCTATACCACAGAATTGGCCTTGAGTAGACAGCATCCCTTTTGGCTGTCAAAAGAGCAGGGAGGGGAATCTGTGGTCAACCACATATGGACTTGGAGTCTGTCCATAGTCCCTTCTGAAAATGAGCAACAGCTGGCTCCTGGACCAACCACATTTGGCCCTGAAGGCTAAATGATGTGACGGGAATGGGATCAGTAGGAGGAGACTCCAGAGTTAGCCACTATGACACTCTACAAGGATAGAAGAGGTGAAAAGTACCTCAAAGTCTGTAGTGTCCAGTCCCCTCATTTTAAAAATTAGAAAACTGAGGCCCTGACTGAATGGTTGAGTGATTTGTCCAGCATCACATAGCTAGTGTCTGAAGCAAGATTTGAACCCAGGTCTTCCTGACTCTAAGTCCAGGGCCTTATACACTATATCATGCTTATTTAATCAAATTCTTAATCATAAATTTAGAGCTGGGAAGGCCCTGAGGGATCATCCACTTCAACCTTCCTCACTTTACAGATGAGGAAACTGAAGCCCACAGAGATTAAGTGACTTGCCCCAATCACGATTTGAACTGAAGTCCTCCACCTTTCTAGGAAGCCTGTATTCCACTGGACCAGAATGACCACACTGCCTTTTATAATATAGAGTTGTCCAACAACAGGGTGGGTTTCTGTGCAAAGTTGTGCGTTCTCCAACATAGAAAGTTGTATGTAGAATCATAAATTCATAGTTAGAAGAGACCTCAGAAATCTTTAGCTTAAGCCCCACATTTTGGAGATAAGGAAACTGAGGTCCAAAGAAATTAAGTGACTTGCCCAAGGATTTATATATATATATATATATACATGCACACACACAATATATATACACATACATATGTGTATATGTGTGAATACACACATTTACATACATACACATTTTGTGTGTGTGTATGTACATACACACACACACACACACACACACACACACACACACACATATAAAGTAACAGAGCTAAGAATCAAACCCAGGTCTACTGATGGTAAATCCAACATTCTTCCTACTCATAGAAAAGGCAAGATGGATGGCACATAGCACAAAGAACACTGACCTTGGAAACTTCAGAGGAGGAAGATTTAAACCCTTTCTCCAATCCTTACTAGCTATTTGACTGTGGGACTCTCTGAGTCTCAGTTTCTTCCTCTATTAAAAAGAGAGGGGGGGGAGGAGAGAGAGAGAGAGACAGAGAGACAGAGAGAGAGAGAGAGCACCTGTAGTACCTACCTCATAAGGAGTGCTGTAAGGACAAAGTGTGTTAATGTGTTTTTTTTTCTTCTTTTTTTTTTAGTTTCTAATTGGGGGAGAAATAGTTTGCAATAGCGACGCAAAAATAAAAAAGGAGGGGCATTTAAATATCTTGAAAAATGCATGAAAAAGAACAGAAGTAAATTCATAAGGAAGCACAGATAAGGTGAACAGTTTTGAAAGTATCATGGGAACCTATTATACGCTTTTTTTTTTTTAAAGAAAGCAATCAGTATGAAAATGAGATTCACAATCTCAAATATAATCCTTTTTTTACTTGGCTATTCATACAGGAAATGCCCTTTTTGGTGTTTAAATTCAGAATTATAAAAAGTAAATGTTTTTTAAAAGAAAGAGATAATATATATAAAACATTTTGCAAACTTTAAAGTAGTATGTATAAAAAACAAATATTAGTATATTAGAAAGGGAATTGACTAGATGACCTTCATCATCCCTTCCAAACTCTAGGCTCTTAAGATTTTTATGGTGTAATTTATGTTTTTTTCAGATTTCAAATAAAAGCTCAACTTGCTTACCACAAATTATTCTTATAGACTCACCAGGAGAACAGAGAAGAAAAACAGGAATGGTGGTGGGTTCCTGTAATGGCTATATTAGAACATGATTGAATGAAAGATCAGACAGATGCCTCTCAGCATGAATGATCAGCAGGACATAAGAGGCAGAGAATACAGTGGCATCTGACATTTGGTTTTACAAAGTGATATGACTTGTTGATGTTATGTGAGAAATTTGGTAAAGACAGTGACCAGTGGATAGAGTGGCAGTACACATAAACCTAGGTATCATTCAGGAACCCCCTCTTACAGCAAAATAAGGATTCAGAGAACACTTCTACTATGAATCAAGAAAATTAGGGGGACAGCCACATTGGTCGCATATCTTTAGTAAATGTAAATGTTTTCATTAGAATCTTTGATTGTATTTTAAAAATAGTTTAATCTCTTATTATATCACATGCTTGGTCTTTTGGGAGCCATTGAAACAATTAGGTCTAAATTTTTTCTTATTTCCATATAATTACTGATAAATATAACAGGATAGGTATATCCATATGAGTAATCTTAATACATAGATCAGGCTGGGTGGTGCAGATAGATATGATCTGAGGTCTGGGAAAGCCAAGGACAATGCCTATATGCCCAGGACACAGAGGAAAAGGGGTATTATGCTAGAATTATATCTTTCAGCACCCCTCTTAAATATCTCCAATCTAGAGGTACGAGTCTGAGTTCTTTTTTTTGAGAGGGGGAAGAGTTTCAATATCTTTAAAAAAAATTTTTAATGTATTTTATTTTAAATTTATGGAAAATGAGCATTTCTATAACACAGCATAATAAAAAAAGACGATTGCTTAAGACATTGCAAATCAATTATATACAACTTGTTATTCCTTTTAAATATGCAATAAAGTTATCATGTAAATTTCTTTTTTTCCCTTTTTTTCTTCTCTCCCCCACTCTCCCCCAATGGAGATGGCTACCATTAGACACAAACAGGTATATATATATATATATATTTTTTTTTTTTATTTTATACATACTTCTACTTATCAGTTCTTTCTCTGGATGCAGATAGCTTCTTTCTTCACATGTCCTTTATTTCTAATTTGTGTATTTGTAATAGTCAAAATGACTTAGTTGCTCAAAGTCATTCTTTAAACAATATTGCTGTTACTGTACATATGAGTCTGAGTTCTGAAGGAAAGCTGCTTCCATGATTGCTTCTTAAGGGGGTACGTGTTCCTTACCTTATACTTTCTAGCTTAATTTTTTCCCACCAAACTATAGTTACACAAAAGACCATCACAAACAGAGAATAAACCTATTTATCCAAGCAAAACAACAAATAGAAATTGGAGTTCCACAGATTAGAATATAGCAGAAAATACACAAGAGTGAGCTCTTCAGCTAGGAGTGAGCCAATCTCACCCAAGGAGATCCATTCTAACAGTCTCAAGGTAGGCAAGCTGGTAAGCCAGTTCACTGTTAGAAACCAGGTTCTCTTATGCATCTGCTCCTTCTTTTTCCACATATCCCAAGAATGTCTATAGAATCCACTAGGTAAATCCCTTATGCAGTATGTGGTGTTGAGCTCAACTCCACTGATCTCTCTGCCAATCAGGAGTCACATCTCCCTCCCATACACAGCAGTATGCAAAATGTTATATAGGACTGGGTGGAAGCCAAGTTATATAAACATTATATTACATTATAAAATATATTATATGTTATATAAATAGTATTTTATAATCATTATGTTACTTTATATAAACCTGTATTAGCTTTTGAGTCTTGATGGCCAAGATGATGGAAGGTCCAGAATTCCAGGGGTATGAAAAACAGCTGTTCTGGTGGAAGAGACCTTAGTGAATTTCAACTGACACTATAAGTAAGTAAGGGTTGACCCAGACAGAATGATGCAAGCTCCTTCAAACACCACCCTGCTATTTTTACAAGTCCGTAAGATCATACAGTTAGAATTAAAAGAGACCTTTGAAAACAACCCCTTCATTTGACAGGTGAAACTGAGGCCCACCTAGGTTGTAACTTGCCCAAGGTCACACAGAAGAGTCCAGGATTCAAACTCACACTGTGTGACTTAAGTTCAGTGTTCTTTTCAATGCACCAGCCTTTAGATCAAACAGCTGTTCAAAAGAAACTCAAACCTGACATTTAGTCACTTGAGGACAGATTTGTTGTTTGGTCATTTCAGTTGTGTCTGACTCTTCATGACCCCATTGGGGTTTTCTTGGTAAAGATTCTGGAGTGGTTTGCCATTTCCTTCTCTAGCTCATTTTACAGATGAAGAAACTGAGGCAAACAGGGTTAAGTTTCTTGCCCAGGGTCACACAGTTATAAATGTCTGAGGCTGGATTTGAACTCAGGAAGGTGAGTCCTCTTGACTCCAGGCCTGGCATTCTATCCACTGCACCACCTAACTGCCTTCTTATGGTCACTTCCAAATATGATGACTAAAACTAAATACTCAATTACTGCAGATGTGTGGTCTGACCAGGACAAAGTACAATGAGACTATTCCCTTCCTAGTGCTAAACATTAGTGTCTTTTTAACGGAGCCTAAGACTGGATTGTGGCAGCTAGGAAGTGCAGTGAATAGAGTGAAAAAACTTATCCCCATTAAATGTGATCTTTTCACCTTTGGTCCATTGTTCTGCACAATCATACTGACCCTGTCATCTAGTGTGTTAGTGCAATCCTCTCATTTTATACATGAGGAAATGAGGCCTAAAGAAGATCACATAGCCTTTCTAAGGTCACATAGATTATAAACGGCAGAGCCAAGATCCAAACTCGGCCCTTCAGTTTCCACTGTATCCCTCTTATAGGGCTCCAGTTTAGTATCAGAGCACTGATCAGAGCCATAACACAAAGATGGGAAGAGGGTGTCACAATCCATCAATTAACTTTTATTAAGCACCTACTATGTTATTTGTCAGGCAATGTGCTAAGTGCTGAGGATACAAAAAGAGGCAAAAGATAGTCCCTACCCTCAAGGAGCTCACAATCTAATGGTGGAGACAACAAGCAAACAGATATGTACAAACGAGCTATAGAAAGTGTTCACAGGAAATAATTGAGAGAGGGAACACTCTAGAATTAAGAGGGGTAAGGCTTCCCATGGAAAATGGGATTTTAGTTGAGACTTAAAGGAAACCAGGGAAGCCAGCAGGCAGAAAGGATGGAGAGCATTCAGATATGGGGGATAGCCAGAGAAAATGCTAGGAGCCCAAAGAGAGAACGTCTTGCTCATGGAATAGCCAGAAGGTCAATGTCACTGGATTGAAGCCTACTTGGCAGGGAGTAATGTGCAAGAAGACTAGAAAGGTAGGAGGCAACTGGGCTATGAAGAGCTTTGAAGGCCAAAAGATGTTGTATTCGATCCCTGTGATAGGGAGCTACTGGAGTTTGTTGAATAGGGCAGCTGACATGATGGTAAAAAAAAATAGCACTCTGGTAAAATCACTTTGGAGGCTGGTCACAGAGTGGTCTGTGATCCAGATAAAAGGCCGAGGAGTTATTTTTAACCCAGTCATCAGTGAACTAGGGCAGGTAGTCTGTTACACTGGTGACTAGGGAATGATACATAAGAAATCTGTTGATGGCTGGGATATCACACTTGCTTTTCTCTTTACCCTTCTTACTCCCTCCCTCTCTCTCTCCTCCATCCTCTTTCTTCCCTTCCCAACTATCTCTTTTTTCCCTTTTTTCCTTCCTACCTGCCTATGTTTTATGCCTGCCAGTGGTATATACAGAGACTGCGTATCTATGCTGTTGGCTCTCAGATTGCTGACTTGATAACAATAGAGAAGCAGGTCTCCTGTCTTCCTAGGGCATGTATCCATGACATGGCAAAGAATCTCACAAGACTCGTCAAGCCTGATTACTACTACCCACTTCTGGTGATTCATGCAGATGCAAGTGATGCTGATAGAGGGAACCTAGAAAGCATCACTCAAAATTATGAAGTCTGGAGCAAAAAATTAAGGCCTTGGGAGCATAAGGGTTTTCATCTCTTCTGTCAATCAAAAGCTGGTTTTGAAAAAGATTGGAAAGTAAATACCTGGCTAAGAATATAACATTTATTTGTTTGGGGAATGGCTTAATAAATTATCATACACAAATGTAATGGAATATTGTTGATCTATAAGAAATTATGAATATGAAAAATACAGAGAAGCATGGGAAGACATGAACTAATGACAAGTGAAGTAAGAAGAGGCAGGAAAACAGTATCCAGGGGTTGGGAACCTGCGGCCTCAAGGCGACATGTAGCCCTGTAGGTCCTCAAGTATGGCCCTTTGACTGAATCCAAACCTCACAGAAAAAAAATCACCTTAATAAAAGGATTTGTTCTGTAAAACTCGGACTCAGTAAAAAGGTCATACCTGAGGACCCAGAATGCCACATGTAGCCTCAACGCCACAGTAGTCACTGAATGACTACAACAATGTAATTATTACTACTACTACTAGTACTAATAATAACTACCAATTATATTATACATTTTTTTTATTTTGCAAGGCAATGGGGTTAAGTGACTCACCCAGGGTTACACAGCTAGTAAGTGTCAAGTGTCTGAGGCTGGATTTGAACTCAGGTCCTCCTGACTCCAAGGTTGGTGCTCTATCCACTGCGCCACTTAGCTGCCCCTATACAGTACTTTAAAGTTTACAAGATACAGACTTTATCTCATTTGATCAAAACCACCATAGAAGCTCAACAAAATTGAAATTGAATGTTATGGAATTACAAGAATCCAAATTATGACCCTAGAAAAGGGATGTGAGAATATACCTCTCTTTCTTCTTTGCAGAGAGAACAGACTATATCAGTCTTAGTTGATTCATTGGATAATTTTCCTGAACCGTGGGCTTTTTTCCCTCCTTTTTTCATTCTTTATTTTAAGGGATGTCTCTGGTAGGAGATGTAGGGTGAGGGTGAGATATATTGGGAAATAAAGGTGATATAAAAACAGAAGCCATCAATAACATTTTTAAAATAATATTTTCAAAAGCGATGGCAGTTGAGAACATAATTCAGACCTTTGGACAGCTTAAAATACAGGAATGATGGGGTATTGGCCTTACCATCAGTGTTCAGGTTCAAATTACAAAGGTGCTAGAATTGAAGGATATGAGATACTTACAATGTTAGAGATGTTTCTTGAGGGGTACATAGTACTATAGTACACTTAGGGCAAGTCACTTAGTCCTGTTTGCCTCAATTTCCTCCTCTCTAAAATGAGCTGGAGAAAGAAATGGCAAAACCATTCTAGTATCTTTGTCAAGAAAACCCCAAATGCGGTCATAGTCAGACATGACTGAAAAATAACTGAATAACAACAACATAGTATCAAGTGGAAATCGTTAACCCCACAATCCACTTCAGTTAGTACTGAAATGTCAGTCTCCACTCATCAGGACAGCCAGATGGCAGCCCTGGCTTCCTGAACTCTATTGTGTGCCCCAGGCTCCTAGTCCAAAGTGCCTGGTGACCAGGGGCATGTCGCCCCAAGGCTGAGCCGATCCACATCCCTTTACTACCCTCTCTTATAGTGATCTCATCAGAGGAAGGTGTGTTTAAGAAGGAAGCATCAACTATTCCAGATCCTTTGTTGGAGTGGCGATGGGTCAGTCTTCAACCGGTCACTATCCTTAATGGCATGGCCCTGTGCTCCCTCTATAGAAGACCTGTGACTGGCATGTACAGTGATCTATAGGGCAATATGGAGTGGTAGGTTGTCAGCCCTACTTTGTTGTGGGCAATAGTTGGGTACATAAATCAATAAATTATACTATTACTAATTATCAAGATGCGCACTCTCTCTCTCTGTATGTATGTATACACACATATATCTGTCTCCGTGTTTCTATCTCTCTGTCTCTGTCTGTGATCCTTTGTCTATCACAATGTTAACATTCTCAGAGAGGAAATATACAAGCATGGGTACTGATTGACAAAGTTGGGAATGATAGTTAACATTCTGGATGATAAAGATTTGACACGCTAGAATAGAGAGCTGAACCTAACAAGATGAAACTGAAAATTGATGATTCTTGTACTGTCATCTGTTACAAATCTTCTCATCTCTCCTCAAACCACCTACACCACCCCTGCCCTTTCTCTCACAGGGGAGGAACTTGCCTAACACTTCACTGAAAACAATGAGGCCATCTGTCACCAGCTTCCTCTACACCCCAACTCTACATCTCAAATTCCCTCAACATCATCTCCAATTTTCTCCTCCTTAGCTCCAGCCTCAGAGAGGATGTGGCCTTTCTCTTTGCCAAGGTAAATCCTTGTGCTCCTGCCCTTGGGAGCTTGTCCCTTCAACTGTCCCATCCCCTCTCTGCTTTTCTTCTTTTTCCTCCTTTCTTTTTCTTTTTTGAAAATGCAAAAGCTCTTGAGACCACCATTTCTATCTTTACAGAAAATATCCAATGTCAGCAGCTATAACTGTGATAGGAGGCTGGAAATCTAAACCTTAATTGGGAAACAACTCGAGGTATTGAAATCAGCAGAGCATGATGATGTATACCCTAAAGTGCTTAAAGAATTGATGGGTGGGCAGCTAGATGGTGCAGAGGGTAGAGCACCGGCCCTGGAGTCAGGAGGACCTGAGTTCAAATTTGACCTCAGACACTTGACACTTACTAGCTATATGATGCTGGGCAAGTCAATTCACTCCATTGCCTCGCCAAAAAAAAAAAAAGTCTGGGCAGCTAGGTGAATACTCACTTGCTATGTGACCCTGAGCAAGTCACTTAACCCCAACTGCCTCACAGAGCAAAAAAAAAAAAAGGAATTGATGGGTATCTCAGATTAGTAAGCCGCTTGTTTTAAGAAATCATGGAAGATAAGAATCCCTGAAGATTAAAAAAAGGGTATATGAAATGTCCAGGTAAAATATTGGGGGGGAAAAAAAGATTAGTCTGGAAATTTCTGATTCTTCCTGATTCCAGATTTCTATCCAATACCAAACTGGGAATATATGCTTCAGTGACCAATTTGCAATCACCCAGAAGGGAAAGAGGTGCTAATAACAACTAATGTGATTTAGTACCAACCTCCCACAGTTGTTGTGAGGATCAAATGAGAAAATAATTGTAAAGTACTTAGCGGAGTGCCTGATGCATAGTAAGCACTATAGAAATGCTAGCTATTATTGTTACTGTTATTTTTTGTCTGGCCAATTTAACTTCCTCTGGTAATAAAGTGACAGGCCACATAGAAGAAAGAGGAGTAACTGGTATAGCCAATGGCCCCAGACCCTAAGGTTTCTGTTCACACGGACAGAGATTTATCATAAATTATTCCTTGGCTTGTGACACCTTCTCCCCACCCCCTAGAGTTTCTCCTGAAAACCTCAGAATTTGGCTATTTTACTCACATCCAGAGTCTCCCCAGCAATATCAGAATATAGCTTTTGCCTACCACAGATGTAGGCAAATGGCTCCTTAGCTCCCTCTCTCTAATTATTTCTTTATTCACTAGCTCCTTCCCTATTGATTTCAAATACTCAGATCTCCCTCATGCTTAAAAAAAAATCTACCCATGACCCTGCCATCTCCTCAATCTGTTGTCCATTATCTACCACCATTTTGTATCTTGACACCCAGAAGATAGTGCAGGAAAAACTCCAATACATGTCATTTCTTCTGGACTCATTTTTCACTCAAGAAAATGGGGAAGTAGCTAAAGGACTTGCTGATGTACAGCCCTTTCTTCCTGTTTACTTGGCCTCTCACCCCAGGATTCTCAGCTTTGGATGATATGAAGTAGAAATAGAGGGTAATGAAGAACACCCAGTTCCTGTGTCCTGCATGATCACAGACAAGTTGTCTCCTCTATGGGTCTTGAGTTCCTCCTCTGTAACACCATCCAGCCAACATCTAAATGACCTCCATTATGCCTTCCTGATCGGATTCAATGTACTCTATGCAAGAGCTGCAGGTTTAATTCCAATAGAATGATCGTTAACTTTTCTTTCTTTTATTAAACTAAATGAAATAAAACACAACACACCTTTGTTGATAGATAGTGCCTTGTAACCTTCCCCCTCCATAGTAATAATTTTCTATCTATTCTGCCTATACTTCCATATGTACATTTTGTTTCTCCCATTAGGACATAAGCTCTTTGAGGGGAGGGACTATTTCATTTCTCTTTATATATCTAGCACCTACTATTATGCCTGCAACATATATGCCCTAGGGCTTAATAAATGTTGGCTGATTGATTATCCATATTCTTGCTTCTCCTTCAAGTTTTTCTAACCTGTCTTTGGACAGTATATTGTTCTTTACACCATTTAAAGATTTGGATAAAGTTCCAAAGGCACTAAATGAGTTCTTCCCAGACTACATCAACCCTTGTTACCACAAACAGCGGTTTGGGTAGTATAGATGTCATACTATTTAATAATAATAGATCACATTTATATAGTGTCTTATAGTTTACAAAGCACTTTACATACTTATCTCTGTAGTCAGACTCTAGAATTACTCTCCCAATATGCAATAGCAGGTTTGGTCCCCAGAAAATAGCTGGCTATCTCTCTCCCAAAGGTGCATGGGGCATTCAAGCTGGCACCTCTGGCATGAGGGCTTGCCAAGCCCTTTTCAGGACTGTTCATTCACCTTTGATGTCCACCTGCCACCCCACTCTCACCTGTGGCTCCAAGAAGCTGTACAATACACAGCAGCCACACCCTGGTAAAACCACCTTGGCAGAAGGGCTAGACCAGGCCTCAGATCTGTCAGCGAATTAGGGGGCTGTCTAACACAAACATGGGAGGACTTCCCCAGTGGAATGGGAGGATGAGAACAATTTGTTCCAATGTCCATGAAGGCAGCTGAAGCAGGCACTGTGGAGTACTTAGAGTTTAGTCAGACATTGAAGGTGCCAAGATCATCCCCTGCATTCTGGGCCATTGCCAGTCATCCTGACTTTCGTCTTGCAATTGGACTTTGATGACTCTGGAAGAGACAGCGAGGCTGACCATTTTGTGCAACTCTGCCTCATTTATATCCAATTCCCATATGAGTGACATCATCTGTGATATCACTGGTCCTCTGAAAATGAAGGATGAGCAAAAACATCTTCCATTCCACAGTCTCTTTCTCA